CAGCATCATCAGCAGAAAGGAATCCCTCTTCCACTCCTTATATTATTTATCAAACTAATTACTGGACTTCACTTAAACAAGAGCACCATTTCTCCACTTTTGGTTTTGTTTGCCTCTAAATTCTGAGTAGTTTAGCAACAGCTGGTCTAAGCAAGAAAGTTACTAAGGGCTATTATGATTCTAAATGCCTCTATTTTCTTTGTGGCTCTTCTACCCACCAAAACACCAAACTCTACTCTTTCCATTACCCATAACTTGGACACACTATATTTAGATTAAGCAATCCCACTCCTTGGAACAAGATGCTTACATCATTTCAATTACTCCAGTCTAAAAGCAATCACTGTTCTCAGCCTTTGTGAACATTACAACTTGTTGGATTTTTCTTGAAATGTGTGCATTCTTAAAAGCCAAACCCATGGAAAAAGAACTGAAACCAAATAACACACGAGAGCCTGAAAATAACAGAAGAGATACTGTGGCAATGTCTGACTTTCTGAACCGTGCATATGGATTGAAGCAAAACGTTCCTAATCACATCGTAAATGGTGCATACTGCTAGTTTATTTGTAGTTCAAAAGATCTGTTTACAGAGCCATGATTTTAAAACTTCATGGACTTGCTTCAGATGCCAGAAACTACTTTGCATTTGGAACAAGCTTAAAAAAGGTCACAGTTGAACGTCATTAGCTTACATGGTCAAAACCAGTCAAGCAGGCAGTTTCAATGGCTGCAGACATTCCCTCTATCTCCTACCACCTTTCCACCTCAAAAAGGAAGCTGCATGAGTGGATTTTCTGTTTCTGTTTTCTCTCTAAATATGGAGTTACTCAGGCTGACCTGAAACCAGCAGTTCAAAAATTTTTATTTAAAGTATACTGGCAACACAAATTTAACAAGAAGTTTCTTATAGAGGTGTTATCAGCTTGTTCAGATCTGCATACAGCCTTTAATAATAATGTCTATCAGTTACACTCTGATCATCCCTGTAGAAACAGCACTTGTAGTCAGACTAACCAAATACACAGATTATGTTGCTGCTGACAAAGATATCAGAGCTCTTCATTTAGATCCATATATGCAGGACATTATGCCACCAGTATACTTACTAACAAGAAATAGTAATTTTTGTGATGATAAAGACCCTGTGATATGTCAATAAACTGCAACTTCAGGCACCAATGCTTTGGCAGTGTTGGGTAACAGCCCCTTGAATAACTATCCAAGTTACATGTACAGTCACTCAGGATGTTCAGTAGCTGTCACTGCTATGAGCTGAGCTAAAACTGTACAAATTATTAGTATAAATGCTACCCTCAGTCCAACCTAAATACTTGAGATGATCAGATGTAAAATCAAACTGCTGACATGCCACCTACACTCCAAAGAAAGTTTATTCAGGTTTGCTCAGGAATTAAAAGAGGTATTTCCTGGGAAAGGTTTTTAACAGGCTGTGCAACTGTGACACCAGGAAAGGGGAAAAAAAAAAAAAAGGGGGAGGAAAATCCTGATTCCTGAGCTGATCCCTTGTAGCTGGAAGTTCTTCTACAGCTGGCAGCAACCCAGACCAGATTTTCTTTATGAACAGACTTTTACTTAACTAAAAAGTTTCATTGGAATAAAAAGAGAAGAATTACAAGAACAATGTATGGTAGTTTCCTCTCTCACTCCTTCTAGGTGTACAGACATACTTGTATGCCTATCCTTACAGGTCTCCTGTAGCAGAAGCTGCCAAAGATCTTGGCAAAGGTGGCCAAATCAATAGGTAAAAAATACTAAAACTGTGCAATTTGCCATTCTCTACTGGATAAATAGTTATCTGAAATAGGCAGTTTAAAAAAAACCCAAACAGTTATGATAATAAAATGAGATATGGCAGTCAAACCACAGAGAAAAGAACAGTAAAATGTCAAACATGAAAATAAAGGAAACTCTTGTACACATATAGGATAGAATGGCCAGAGCCATTCTGTTTCAACAGTTTCAACAGTTGATTTTGGCATGGGATCATACTTCACTTCAGGTAACCTTCTGCCAGAAATACTGCTGGCCAGAATCCAAACTTTCATCTGACCAGGCTCACTGAGTACCAGCAGAGACCATTCAAACTGAGATGGAAAGAAGTAGATTAAAAATATGAATCATCACTTCTTCCAGGACTCACAAAACAGAATCATATATGCTTTCTTTTTGGACCTTACTTAAAATCCATGGAAGTTAGTAAAGTGTGTGTTTCTAACTGTAAATAGGGATACTTCTGTTTGTGTTGTTTGGGGTTTTATTATCATCCATCCAGAATGTTGATTTTTTTCTTCTCTGTTTGTTACAACCATAAGAGAGAAGATGAACACAAGGAACTAAGAGTGGTTCACAGAACAAGGTATAGGGCTGACCTCATATGAATTCCACTTGTACACTCTTTCACCATCCTGTCCTGTATCATCTGTTGGCAGCATTCATAATATTCTCATTACAACTCTGCAAAATGTTATTTTGCAGAAATGTAACTCTGTAGGCAGGAAAAAAAAGAACAGTTGCTGCAAAGTCTTTCTTCTAAAGTATTAAATTATAATGAAAAGTCCAATCATTTAATATGATCAGGACAGAAATCTTTCAGCTCTGGCACTTACCCACTCCTATGACATGAAGGATGATCCTGATATTTAAAAAAAAATCCTCTACCTCTTCTCCCACCCTATCAAACCACCAAGTTATTCACGAACACTTGTATAAACTGGAAGAGGAAACTGAACCAAGACCAACATCCTCAGCTTCAAAAATCATGTCATTCCCTCATGTTGTATCACTTGCTCCCTTTTGAATCCTCATGAAGTACAAAACATAACAACATGTGATGATTGAGAAGTTTTTCCTCCAGTCATCCGATACTTCAACAAGTGCTAGAGGGCAACAAATAACAGTGCCACTCTTCATAATAATTCTGATTACAGCTATATCCTGTGAAGTATAAATTAACAAAAATGCAGATCAGTCACACAATGACTTTATTAAAAAACAAAATATGATACCTTTATACATGTTTAGCAATGTTCGATCCTGAACAAGATGATTCTGGGAAGGAAAAAGCACTCAGGTTTAGCCTCATCAAGAAATACTTACTGAAAATTGTAACAGTTATGCTTTTTCCTAAAAGATACAGCACTCCTCAGATCAGAAATGCATGATACAATGTTAACATTTGGCTTTGTTAACTGCATTTGAAGACAACTTTGTGATTATAGAAACTATCTAGGAATAATACTGGCTTATACACTTAACAATATGTCAGTCCTCCCCTTTTACCACGAGCTTTCTCTCGCCCTGTTAGTGTGCTCGGTTTCTGTGCATTAGCAGAACTATCTGTCTGTTCAGACCCAAATCACCTGAAATTAGTTTTTTTCTGCCTGTAGCATCTTAATTACGATCTAAAAATGGTTTAAATTTGAAGAGTCTTGTTCCAATTCCCCAGCCATGGGCAGGAACACCTTATATTAAACCAGGTTGCTTAGAGCTCTGTCCAGCCTGGCATGGGAAGCTTTCAGGGATGGGACATCCACACGGTCTCCAGGCAACCTAGTCCAGTGCCTCATCCCCCTCTGAGTAAAGAATTTCTTCTTAATATCTAATCTATATTTATCACATTTCATTTTAAAGCCATTCCCACTTGTTCTGTCACTATATGCCTTTGCAAAAAGTCTGTAGGAAAAATTAGATTGCCAAGAATGGGGCCAAGTGGAAACCTGCAACTCAGAAGTCCATTGCAGAGGAACGGTTCCCCTAAAATGAAAAATGTCAGAGTGGTGTTCCGAAATCTTTCATATGAACATCTCTTTTGCTGAGGTACTTCGATCTCAACAATCCTGCACTTTAAGATATCAGATATAAAATGTGCTGACAGCATAGATGTCAAAGACAACACACCTTCCTTTCACTCTAACAATTTACGTTTTTAGTAATAACAAGTTCTTTCCATGGATTTTTGTGCCTAGCTCATGACAAGAGCTAGAAAACAGAGTGAAATAAGCACAAAGACAAGCCACAAGAAATGCTGGGGGCTGGCAGCATCCCAACAATTTGGGGAGCAGAATAAAGGGCTGCCTGTTTGTAGCTTCCTCCAGCTTGTTCTATCAAGTAAACAAGAACCCATAGAACACTTTAAAATGTTTTTCCATTAACTTGGGTTTCCAGAGCTTTGCCACTATTGAACTCTTCCAGGAAGTGACAAGATATACATTCACATACATAGTATATATGCGTATACAAGTATATATATGTATATATATGTAGCTGTGTTAGCAGAGGATGTCACAGGGCATCAGTTAACCTAAAAATGCTGAATGGTGTAAGAGTCTCCTGCCCTCTGATCCCTGGATGTGCATGCCAAAGGTTAGGTAACCCACCTAACCAACTGTTTTAGTTCTTAGTGCTAAGGGGCATCACCCCTAGTGATGCCAAGACAAGATGAGGATTTACAGCTCAAAACCAGGATGAACAATTGTCTCGGTTTAGAGACAAGTTTAGGAGAAAAACACTCTAGAATGAGTGAATAAATGATTCAATAAATATTGAATTGTCAGACCTTATCTCTACATACACAAGCACCCACACTGGGGAAAAAAACCCAACCAAACAAAAAAAAAAAAAAACCACCAAAATGCCAGGGAAAGAGGCAACATGGTGGGGAGAAAAAAAAACAGCGCTGGCTCCTGTCTCAAGGCGGGGAAAAAACCAAAACAAAAGCTTCATGCCACAGCTTGGGCAAACGAGTTGGGAACCTGTTGAATTGCTGGTGTTGGTCCCCTCTTCACAGCTGTCTCAGTTTAGAGACAAATTTCAGGAGAAAATACCCTGGAATAAGCATTTCATCTAAAGAGAAATAGCTTCAATAACTCTCTCTTCTGCCAATGAGAGAAATGGATACCAGGGAGTTAAAGTGGAAAGAAAAAGAGAACTGTTTATTTAAAAAAAACAAAAAAACAAAACCCAAAAAGACTGAAATATCAAAACCTTAAACCACACTCTCCATACCAGACTGAGTGGCCGTGCGGCAAAGGTGGAGGCTGCCCCTCTTTGACATAGGGAAGGAAAGGAAAGAGTTCAGCTGGGAAACATGCTGGATTTCTGACGTGGGCCCCCTCCTTGCAGCAGGTGAATTTAATGGAGTTTAATGTCCTTTTTCGTGTTGGTTCTGCTTTCCAAGGTCTCGGATCCTGCCGGCTCCCCAGACAGACTGGAAAAAAGGCCAAGCCAAAATAGTTCAAGGGAAAAAACCAAACCAAACCAAACCAAACCAAACCCAACCCCCGAAAACCCCTAAAACAAAACAAAAAAAAACACCACCAAAAAAACCACCCCAAAAAGTTGCCACACCAGGGGAAGGAAAGACGCTCCTTGCCCAAACTAGCAAACACTAATCCAGCGAAGGCAAGGAAGTACCAATCTGTGCTGCAGCAGATCTCACCTGGGCGAGGAGAGTCTGAACAAAACCTGCACCAGGACTGCCAAACTCCGGACCCACTCCCTGGTTCACATTGCAGCTACAGCAGCCATTTCCTGGACATAACACAGATTAGGGAATAGTGCATCATCACAAAATCACCCCAAGACAACAGCAGATGAAGCAGGTGGATATGACATTCTTTTCTCTTGCTGGCTTTGCTTTTCTGAGGTCTGGGGTCGAAACGGAGCAGACCCTCACTGTCCCTCTGGTCCTCACTGATTCTTCTCCCTTTGATTGTTCTCTCTGATCTCGGACCAAAACCAAACATCCAATTCAACACAAAAACCATTGAAGGATTGCTGTCTCAGTCTCCAAGGCCAGGGAAAGGAAAAACCCACCCTTCTTGCCTAATCTAGCAAAAAAACGCTAGCTAGCTAAGCAAAAAAACCCAAAACCACCCAGTCCACAGAGCACGACAGAGGGCCCCGGAGGGAGGCTTTGAAAGAGCCTGCGAAGGGCCCCAAAGCTCGCCCCTCTCCCAGACCCACCTGAATGCTACAGCAACCATTCTTGGGCATAGAGGAGATGATCAGGGAATAGAAAACCATCCCAAGACAACAATTAATGCCTGCATTAATACGTTCGACTTTAAAAAAAAAATGAAGCTTGAATATTTGTAGTCTAATGACACATGTAAAAATTTAGACATGGAATCTGACATTTAATCTTCACCACATAGACTTAACACATAGAATATAATTTCTTGTATTTCACATGTATATTGATATAGAAAATACAGTCAGATCCTTTGCCAGATATTGAACTGCTTTCCTCAGCTGCTTTTCATTTTTGGAACCTCTTTAAAATGCGCAGATTAGATCTTTTGTAAATATTTTAGCCAGTCATAAATATTCAGCAATATAAAGAACAGTAAGGTCAAATTCTTGCTTTCCACTGCAGTTTAGTCTTTCCACAACACTTTATGAAATATTTTGTGAAAAGCAAGCTTCTAACAATGTAATTAAATACAAGCTCTCTTTCTGTTTTTATTAGAATTAAAACATACAGATTGAGATTTAAGCAACTGGTGAAAAGAAACCCTCTGCAGTGTTCAAAAGTTGCCTCCTCAATCTGAAGAAACTTGGAAAAGTTTTTTAAACCACATACACAACACAAACCTTTATACATAATATCTACAGGAAGCATAATAGTTCACTGAAATAGGAATCAAAAGAAGCCCACAGCAGTATTGGTTATATATGTAGTTGAGACCATGCCAAACTAGTTGATATCTCAGAACTGACTGCACATTAATTGTTGCACCCCTCCCTTACATTGGTCTAGTGACACAAGGAGAAAAATCCTTTTATTCCCTTACCTTCCTGTAACCTGCCTGTGCTATCAAGACTTACGTGGAGGAGGAGAAATAGGAGATAAAGAAAGTATTATTAGGAGGTTAAAAAGCCAACTCCAGGAGAGAAGGCCTGGAAGGTATGAGGTGTGTTGTGTCCCAAAGATTAAATATTTGCATTCCAAAGAACTTAAGGAGAATGAACTTCCAGCAATAACAAGAGAACCTTGAGATGCATCACGTCTCAGAATTCAACTAAATGAAAAAAAAATCTCATTCATTGCTATCATAATTTTCATCTAAACAGAAAAGATTGAAAATGTCTTTATAGCCAAACTCCTTGTCTTTGCCTACTGCACTGATTAAGTGATATTTTCTTTCAATTACTTGCTTCACAGTATTTTTATTATTTAAATCAAGTTGAACAATTCCGTATTGTACAGAACTAAGGCTAATGGGAACAGTAACATTATTCTCTTCTGAGTAAATAACTGGATGCTATAAAAGAGAGACAAAAGTCTGGATATTCAGCAAAATTTAGATTGCTTTATTTGATATAAACAGAGCAAGCAGTGCTGGGGAACGTGAGGGGTCACCACCCACACCATGCTCCACTGAATCCCGGCCCACAGCCTCTTCTTATACTGTGGTTTCTCTTTGTAATCAATAATTTTTGGTTTTTTGTTGTCATAATTTTGCCAGGTAAGCAGTGGTGGTTGAATAAACATTCTCATCCAAATTCACAAATCCTCCGGGTGATAGTCAGTCACAGATAACCATACGGTCCTTGTAGATAACCACCAGAGAAGTTCTGGGACTCTGGTCATTGAGATAAGCAGTATTGATCAGACAAAGGAAGGAAAGACTATAGGGAAGACTGATTTTGCAAGCTGGTAGTAGGTACAACTTATTTGGAAAACATAATATAACATAATATGACATAACAAGGTGATTTTAAACAGAATAATTTTATCATATAATTTCCTTTATCTAGTGTCCATGCTTCACTTCAGAGCTTAGTATTCTGGTTTATACAAACCCCAATGCTTTTGTGATTAACATGAATCTTTTATCAATTATCACATGGACAAACATCACAGAGCTTTAAGTGACGCTAGGGTTGTTTTGTTTGACAGAATTGTTTTCAGATACAAAAGTGCCCATCCCTTCTTAAAAAGCAAAATTAGTGCTAGAGGGTATAATTATATCCTCATCACAGAAGGCAACAAGGAATGCACATTTAAGATACCTAAATCCAGACAACGTTCTTAAATGCAGGCGTGGGGGGAATGGGAGGTTTGCTAATTATGATTTCAAAACTATTGAAGAATCCAGTTGTTATGTCTCCAGCTCCTTTTCAAGACTTAGTTTACCAAGAATCATACCATGTGCAGAATATTACAGAGCACTAAGACATCTAGTGAGTGAAAAATATATTGCAAGTAGAATTACTATATGGTATGTAAACTAAGCAGTGTTAGGTTTAGTTACGAGAGTAAGAAGTCTATGGGACCATTGCTGCAGGTTAATTATTACCACATGATTTTTTTCGCTGTACATTTACAATTCTTACAGTTCCCAGGGAAAGAAATGACTGCATCAAAACCTACCTGGCACGGGATCTCATTGCAATGCTCTGGTCTTTTATCAGGTTCTTGCTTTAGTAAAGACCTAGAACAATATGAACTCAGAGGAATCATGCTTACTGGTTTTGCCAATAGCACACATCTGGCATTAAGTCCTACCCATTAAACACATACCTGACATGCTTATCACTGGAGACCATGTGTATTTTAATTACAATTCAGAAATTGGGATGAATCACATAGCACAGGATGTCTAAACCATCCTTTCGAAAGGAAACACAAGCTTTCCACAACTTTGTTTACATAAAGTATCACAAAAACCTGGAATGACTTAATTCCTGATTAATAAAAAGATCAAACTAATTATCTTCCCTATGGCCCTGGCAAACACAGTTCAAAAAATTTGCCATCGTCAGCTTCAAATACATCGCAACTGCTCCCTGGGGCTCATAAAATAAAGAACATTGGTGCAGAGCAGAACCTTTCATGTTCTGCCAGGAAAACGTGTGGAAAAATAAGTAGGAAAGATGTAACACTAACACAAGAACAGCGTTTGACAAACAGAAATGTACTCCTTCAAACTGAAGGTGAAATTATCAAATGATCACAACAAAAAATTGGAGGGTAAAAAGAAATTGATCAATGTATTGTAACAGGTTCATTATAAGTTGCACGGTTTAGAAATCATAAGAAATGTTCAAATTCCCTGAAATTGAAAATTTAGGTCAGATTCCCTGATTTATGTAATTTTCTTTCTCTTTTTTGAACCTAAAAAAATAGTGTTCACTTTTTTACACAATAAATAGCATATACCACATCTATATTTCTTTCCCTATCTTTCACTAACAAAAATACATTCTTTAAAATAGGAGCAGTAGTACAAGGATTTTTTTTCCTTCAAAGAACTTCGGGGAAAAATATGAACTTTCCCTGTCTGCTGACATGTAAGCAGACCCTGCATTACCCATTGGCTGGCTGTTTTACTGGCCAGACATTCTTGGTTTAGGACCCTGCTTAGGTTTTAATTGCTTATGTTTGACCTGGTATTTTCAGATTTCTTGGTATGTAAACTTTACTTTTTGTGATGTTGTGAGAATATTTGGGATTGAAAAGCATGGAAATCCCATAAATCTTGAGTTCAGACTGACTTCAGTTATCTAAGAGAGTTTTCTTCCTCATATTGGTTAGGATTCCATCATTAGTTATTTTTACATATCAAATTACTTTTTTACAAATCTCTTGTATTACAATCCAGCCAGAAACTCCTCAGAATTTCTCAAAAATTTCTAAACATTTCACTAGTTGCAACATGCCTGTATTTTAAAAGATGTTTGCACAGTTTCTGGAAGGCAAAAGAAAACAGTTAGGTAAGGTAGTGAACACAGAATCAAAGGTTATATACTGGATGTTTCACTGTAATGAAAGAATATATTTTTAAAGTACATTAATCAGTGTTAATTTAGAAGATTCTCTTTTTTTGACACACCACAATCTCCAATACTACAATATCATTACTACACTGTACTCTGTAAATTTATGCATATCATCAACTACCTACCTCATCACTGTCTCAACTGCACAAGCTTCAGAAGTCTCATACAGGTTTATTAAAAAAAAAAAAATCTTCCAGACAATTTGCAAGGAGTTTAAATTAACAGAGTAAAAATTTAGGAGTATTATTTTTAGCTTTTCTTTGTTAAGATACTTTTGTTGCAACAGACAATGATGCTAGGGACCAGATGCACAACCCCTATTGTCCGTTGATTTGTGATCCATTTTGGTCCTGCTTAAGTGATTCTGGAAACTCCTCAAGAACTAAGGATATTCATGCTCCTAGTGACTCTTCTGTCCTA